AGCAGAACCACTGCAATGCAGTAACCCCCCCACCCGCATAGGTCATCATACCATGTAAGCTCTTTCTGTGCCCAAACCTGGCCTGAACACCAAGTGAAATGTATTCAGATAATCAGATGTAGATAAATGAATGAATGGATAGTCCGGAAAACCTCAGGTAGGAGAAGGCTGATACAATTGGTACACAATCAGGCCTGAAGGACGGGAGTGACCTTTGTGGAAGGACCCTGTGCTATCATGACAACTGTCTTGGATACTGCCCAGGGGTCTGGAAGAAAAGCCTTGAGGAGTCAGATAGGGGTCCTGGATTTCATATTGACTTAATTGATTACCATTCCTCTGTTCTTAACCAATCTTCATCAATCAATGAAAACAAATGTTTATTGTTTGCTACACTATTTAGACATTATGTAGAATGAAGAGTTTTCCCAAGTTAAAGAATGCAGTTGACTTATCCATTGTTTCAGACTCCTCTTAAATAGGTCAGGTCATCCAATATGTTTAAAACAATGTTATCAGAAAAGAACAGCTTTTCACTGGGAAGTAACAAAAGTGGATTACCCTCCCCCTCACCGCCCCCCATGCTCACACACTCTTAAATTTCAGTTAATCCAGGAGTAATGACATTTCTGGACTGATTAATGGTCTCAAACATAGTAGAAGGGAAAATGAGTTTCCCATTCTGGAATTGTATGGTCGATTTCAAACTGGATTTGTCTAGATGTTGGCCCATGGAAACTAACAATCTTATCTGTAATGAGTAAACCTGAAACTTGTAACAATCTTTTTCCTCACCCCTCTTCTCCAGACAATGTTATATCACTTGTTAATGTGTGTCGACCAAGTTAATGGCATAGGAGCAATAGCCAGTTTAAAAAGTTAGCAATCCTATTTTCTAAGTATTCCAACTATTAAAATGAGTTGCTATCTGGTGCAAATTAATTACCCAAATTAGGTGTACGCATAATCTGCATGATGAAACATAGGGAAGAAACCCCAGAATTGGCATGCACAGACAACAGAATTTGTACACTGCAATACCAAGCATGAAAAAAGCATGTGCTTAGTAGAGTGGGCATCTTACAGCCAAAAACTGTTGACATGGGCTTGCTGTGTGAGAAAATAGCTTGGAAGCTGAGAATAAAGGAACTTCCCAGGTTACAGGTAAGTTAACGGCTTTGATACGCGTGTTATAAATGCTTCACACACTATTGTAAGTTCAAAGACAACTGTAAGCTCTCTCTCAGTCTGTGGATTCAACTCTATTTGGAATCTCCAACCTGGCAGGCAGGCAAAATTTCCAGCCACAGAGAGTACCCATTCCTGTTATTAGCTGACGTGTCATTGTGAAAGAGCCAACAAGCCATTCCCTAAGGCCAAAATATTCAAAACAAAGATATGTGAAGAGAAAATTTCAAATGCCAAAGGGTAGTCATTTGTTGTCTGTTTCTTTAGTACCAATTATTTTTCAAGAGGAAAACTCATGTTTGATGCTCCCTCCAATCCAGGGGGAAAACTTGACAGGTTAGGGAAACTTAGAATACATTTTCAGGATCACTTAAAGAAGATTTATTGGAATAGCAAGCTGGACATCTTGCCTTTCTCTGTATGCAGCTCCACAGCAGCAAGAGATGACTCTTCCCTCATTCTCTTTATTACTAACTTATCCTATTTACTGAAACAAGCAACTCTCCTTTGGCCATCCCCTGCAGGCAGGAGAGGATGTGGGGTCAGAGGCAGGGGCGGGGTGGCGGGGGAGGTGGTTGAGGAAAGGAAGAATCTATGACTGACCCCGTGGCTGCGGCAGCAGTAACTAAGAAGACACCCAAGATCTTTGGAGTCAGACCTGACCAGCTTTGTTACTTAACCAGTTACAGATAGTTAAGAGAGACCATTAAACAGAAGCAAATAAAAATTCTATCCTTTACAGCAGAGGTGGGCCTCTGGACTACAGCACCCATCATCCCTAGACAGCATTGCTTAATGGTGAGGCATGAAAGCAAACATAGGCTAAAACTGTTGGCCACAAGTTGCCCACCCTGGCTCAAGTTCTCACTTGTGGGTGAAGTTAGTGGAATCTCTATACTAGCCAGGATTGCCAAATTTTCAACAGGCTTCCAAAGCTATGCCTCTTTTTATCAGGGCTTTGCCATGTTGACATGAGCACGTGATCAGGCATATTGTCTCTCTCTGAAAACTTTACCCTCTGATTTTTGCAGATCAAGCTGCTGTGAAGGATACAACAGCATATCTGGCTGGGTTTCATTTTTCCTGTTCAATTGGTTGCCCTACAGCTATCTGACCCCCACCATCCAGTTACCTACCACAGCTTTTCAAGCAGAGGAGTATGAGTGGCTATTAGCCATAGCAGCTAAGTGAAGCTTCCATAGCCAAGAGCAGCATACCTCAGAAAACTAGAGGCTGAAAATCAGAGGCCGACTTCAACTGGGCTTCCTGGAGTTACTGGTGGACCAGAAATGAGCAAACTGCTCCTATCCATGCCACAGAAGGATACAAAGAAATTATTCAGAAGTGTGGTGGGAGACTGGCTTTATATTTTAGAATTAGAGTCTGATGTTCTTTGAGCACTGCAGTGCCTTTTAAATTAGTAATTAAAACTAAGAAAAATGCAAATATATGCATATTAAAATGGAGATTTTCATTGGCAGTATATACCAATATTGGCATCCCCTGGCCATAGTCTATATAACAGTTTGTTGTATCCAACAAAAGAGAATATATGGCTTTCTTAACCATTCCTTTGCTATAATTTCCATTTAAAAATGTATTCAGATATTGTCTTAGACCAATCGCCAGCTCATTTTTTGTAGTTAGCCTTTCCACAGTGCCTCGCCTCTGAAAGTATGAAAATCAAGAAAGGCATATATTTCTAGTGGATTATTTCACATAATAAAGAGCCATTTCTCCACAGCGACTAGTCTCATCTTATTTCTAATGTTTTCCTCCCTCCAGGTCTGGATAACAGCCATGCATTTCATCCAGATGAGGGACACCCTGACCTCTTCCTTTGCAAGTCAGAGGTCCCAGGTTCAGCCCACAGATCTCGAGGGGAAAGTCCGCTACTGGGAAAGTCTGCTACCTGAAACCCCAGAGAGCCAGGGCTGCCACTCAGTGTCAAGAGCACTGGGCAAGATGGTCTGACTTGGTATAATGCAGCTTCCTGAAATATATGATCTGCTCTAAATGCTTCACTGTTGCCCCACCCTGGGCAGAATTGTCCCTTGCACAAGAGCCTGAAACCTTGCCATCTTCTCCCCTTAATTCCATGGAGTTTTGGGATTTTTGGAACTAAACATGAAAAGAGCACTGTGAGAGCATCCTGACACTTCTAAGTGCCTTAGGTACATATCTATATATCTATATGTGCACTAAGATAGGGATGGGCAACTTGTGGCCCTCCTGGTGTTTTGGGCTACAACTCCATCAACCTTCACCATTGGCTATGGAGGCAAGTGCTGATGAGAGCTGTAGGCTAAAACCTCTAGAGGGCCACAAACATGGATCTACCCCAGGGACGGGCAGTCTGCATATGCTCAAAATAAAATAGTAAATGACAAAACACCACTGGTCGGGGTGACATAGTCTATAGACAAATACGCACTGTAGTTTTCAAAGGAAGGGCAATTATTTCTACCAGGGTCATCAGCCTTCACCTCTAGAATTCTGGTGGTCACACGAAAAAAGAAAAATAGGTGGTTGTTGTTTCCTATGAAAGTTCTGGTTCAGCCTTTCCCAACCAGGAGCCCTCCAGATGTATAGGACAGCAGCACCAATCATCCCCAACCCACAAATCCACATTAGCTAGGACTGATGAGAGCTGTCCATCAAGGCATCTTGGAGGGTCCCCATTCTAGTTTAAAGCCACAAGAATCGACCTGAGAAGCAGCATAGGATGCTTCTAATAGCAGACACACCTTACAAAGACCAGCACTGCTTAGGGTGGTTTGGTATGAAAAGGAGGCTGTCTTCATGGGATCTGATCATTATGATGGGAAAAATGAAGAATTTCCTTACTCGCTCCCCATGCACACTGTCTTGAAGAGACAAAACTGTGCATGCCTCACGGCCTCTCCTGTGCTCCTTAAACTAACCTCCTTCTCTCAGGTGTGATGTGGGACCATGTCCTGGTGTCAATGTTGCAGTAAAGTTGAAGCACCAGTCCACGTGGTTTCTGTACCTGGAACAGAAGGGGGTGCCGTCCTGCCTTTGCCTCGGGTGGCAAAAGTTCGTGGGCCAGCACCGATCCAAAGGTTTCCCCAATATATCTGGTGTAACACAAAAGTTTTCACAGGACAGCACTCCAAAAACAGCTTGCTGTATTTTTTGGTCTCTTCCTCCCCATCCTCACCCCCCACTTTGGTTTCCCCCTTGGTCTTCCTGGGTGGGAATAAGATATCTTCACAAGTCAGAGGAGACTTCACAGCTCTGCATCAGTCAAATATTCTCTCCCTAAAAGTAAAACGTTTAAAGTAGCAAATCGAAAAGTAAGCAGATGGGCCTATGCCATGTTTGAGCCCACACCAAAGAAATGTCAACACAAGGTTAGAGTGTGGGAGGAACCCCCTGCGTGAAGTGGTTGCGTGAAGCAGCGCTTAAGCAGCAGCTGCAGCTTGTTTTTCAAGGCACGGAACAGAATCCCTTCTTAGCCCTACCTGAAATCTACCTGGCTTGCAGTAAGATGCCCTTTCTCATGTCAGCATTGCCAGCGGTCCTTGCGTGTTGATCGCTGCCTGGCACATTGCAGGCTCTCGCGGTTGCCATTCCCTTGCTGTTGCTGTCGGGCCTTTGAGAAGGGGCTCCCGTAAGCAGCCGGGTGGGGGAGGGGGTCTAAGTGAAACAACAAAGAAGGAGCACTCGGGCCAGCAGCCGCCACACCTTCCCCCGGAGCACACAGTGGAGGTGGGCAGGCTAGGCCCTGCCCCTGCTGGCTCTGCCTATAAATCCCGTGGTGAGCCAAGCCGCCCGCACAGCTACACCTCCCAGCCTCGTGCAGATTTGCCTTTTGCTTGTCCACTGCCCCTGCCGGCCCGATGAGTTTCTCCAGGACCAGCGGTTACTCAGTTAACGTAAGGCCGCTGAGCAGCCCCATAAAGTTTGGCCCCATCAGCAGCGCTGCCAGTGTCTATGGAGGCGCAGGGGGCTCAGGCTCTCGCATCTCTGTCACCAGGACTTCCTCCACGAGCTCGGGCTACCTTGGCAGTGGAGCCTTGGGAGGGTTCAGCAGCAGTCTCTCCTTCTCTGGTTCCGGGGCGATCCAGAATGAGAAGGAGACCATGCAAGATCTGAACGACCGCTTGGCCAACTACCTGGGGAAGGTGCGCCAGCTGGAGTCCGAAAACCAGAGACTGGAGATCCAGATCAGAGAATACCTGCAGAAGAAAGGGCCCTGCACCCGGGACTGGAGTCGCTACTTCGAAATCATTGAGGACCTGAAAAATCAGGTGAGGTGGGAAACCTTGGTCGACTCCCTAATGCTTTGTGTCTGCACCACAAGCCTGGTGCACATTGTCAGCCCGCCCTAATTCCAGGTTAATTCAGAAATGCCATATATTCAGTTTCTAAAAGCTGACCTGGCAGCCACAATGCTGGCTTGAATCTTGGCACAATCCCCCCTCCCCTGCACCCCACCTTAATCACATATGTGCTCATGTTGCTTGACTGCCTGTATTAAGGGTTTGTATACTGCTTGGCTGTTAATCAAAGGTTTCAGGGAGATTTAAAAGATGCAAACATGACTGGCAGGTATAATGAAACAGTAGGTATAAGCAGCTGGTAACTGTTTGCTGGGGAGAAAGACACAGGTACACAGACTATTTTAAAAGCTGGCAACTCAGTCTGCCAAATAAACTATTGGTACAGGTTGTGTGCACTATCATCTCTCTCTGGGTCCAGGAGTCTGGGATGAATACCACCATTTTTGGTCCATCTAGGAGGCCAGCTACCTTATTAAGAAACTTGCTCCCAGCAAGAGCATTCCCTAAAAGATGTATTCCCTGCAAATAAACTGAGTACCTTCTCTTGTGTCTTTCCTAATCCTCCAGGCCTACCTTCTTGTTCTAGTGCCAATTGGTGCAAACACACATACACACAAATTTGTGTGCTTTTAATAAAACTTTGGGGGGGGGGACTGAGCAGAGCAGAGCAGGTTGCCTCTGTGCAAATTATCTCTTGTCATCATGAAATGATCTTCACCAGTTCCTACAGGTGTTTTCCTGGGATTTAAGGGACAAAGAGTGGGAGGCTTGAGTTCCAGACCTTTAATTTTAGAAGCTAAGCAGTGTGTAAGAATTCATTGCCCTACATCTGTAAAGTATCCCATGCAAAGGAATATTCATATTAACTCCTGCAGAATTGTCTCCTCCCATTTCCCCCACTCAGCTCTGGCTAGAGTTTTTAACTGCTGCCTAATATGCAGCAGTTCAGCTGGTGAAGTCTTTTCTCCCAGCCCGATGAGGAGAAAAGCTTGGCCTATTGAATGCTGCACAGGAACCCTGGCAGGCGGAAGGTAGCAAGCAACCAATGAAAGGAAGCAGAAGAAGGCATATTATGGACAGCATGGCTGGAATTAAGCTGTTAAATGATTCTGTTCCTTCCTGAACATCCTCCACAATCAGCACAGTCCCCACCACTGGCATAACTTTCTCCCTGGCTCCTTCCTTTCTGTGCATCTTGACAATTCAAAGTTCAGCAAGCACACATACAGGTTAATGGTTAGCCAGGCAATTCCAACAGACATAGGCCAGCCTTTGTCATAGCAGTCAATGGATGCCACCTAGTAGCAACTGTTGAAGCTCCAGAGCTTGATTTCCAAAAAGGAGCACTGCCTTGATTCATCCCTGGAAGCACCCTCTCTTAACCCAGATGACTGGCAACCAACCACCCTCCTGATCATTTGAAGTACAACTCCAGTCAGACACAGTCTGCAAGACCAATAGCCTGGGATTATGGGAATTGTCTGAAACACCTGGAAGAAGCCATTGTGCCTTCCTCTGCATGACCTAATGTGCAGCAGTAGGAGTGGCAAGTTCCCACATCCAGACTGCCCAGCTGTGCTCCTTCAACACCGAAATTCAGCAATAAAAACATGTTCTGAGGAAAATGAACAAGTGTAATTGGTGGTTGAGATTTGGGTTACTCTCACTAAAGAAGAAAAGGCACATGGGTCTTTTATTATTCATGCTTTTATTGATTCCTGTTGTATTGAACCCAGAGTCATTTGGACATGTGTATGGTAGGCATGTCATGAGCGAAGCCAGCTGGAGCTGGGGGTCAGACTAGATGGACCAAGAGACCCCATCTGACTTGCTCTATTTCTATGTTTCTATTACAAGAAAATGCTGATTCCACCAGGGAAGATGAGCACATACAGGGGGGAAAGATGGGATAAAGTGCAGTGTAATAATAATACTAATGCAGTTCACAGTAGAACATTTTATTCGCCTGCCCACCCCCCCCCACACACCCCCCCCCCCCCACACCCTCCCCATGTTCTGGACTAAACTCCCCGTATTTTGACTATTGACTCTGATGTTTGGGGCTGATTGGAACTGAAATCCAACACATCTGGAAGGCTCTAATTTAGGGAAGGGTGCAAAGACCAACACATGTGCTGAACAATTAATAACTTTCATTGGCTGTTAAAATGAACTTTTACTTTTTTTCTTTGCTACCACTGTAAAAAAGAGAACTCTGTGAGGCAGCATTTAATCTTCCATCAGATATTATTCCTACTACAAACAAGTTTTGGAGAAAAGGTAGGACTGGGCTTGGTGCCTGGAATCTTTGGGCAGCAGCCAGGGCACCTGTACCTCCTCCTTAAGAAAAAGCCTCTCCTGGCACTCAAAGCCACCCAAAGCAGCTGCATCTAGCCACCCTTGAGAGATCCTACAATGGCTTCCACCTAGTATCACTCTGGAGCAGCCTTGCCCAACCTGGAAGCCTTCAGAGGCATCAGGACCACAGCTCCCAGAATTCCGATCCAGCAGGGGCATGGACTAGGAATTTTGGGTGTTGCAATGCATCTGGAGGGCACAAGGTTGGGGAAGGCTGCTCTGGAGCATTGTGGGAGACAATAAATGTGGCTAGACCGAACTCTGCTGCTGCAGGCCCCACTGACAACACAAGGGTTACCATGGAACACACAGAGTCCCAACAAACCTAGATCTGCCCTTGAGCTAAGACATGGTGTGCAGTGCCAGCTCCAGGCAGGTGAATAAGAAGGCTGCAAGGTTGAAGAGGAGGAGCATTTCCAGGGGACTGTTACCACTGAGGCTCTAATAGACCCTCTTTGGGTATTCCACTGTGCCTACCTTTTCCCTGGTTCAGGTGGAAACACAGGTGGGTTTACATTCCTAGCTTAGGCCAGGATGAAATGATCCCACCTTCTTAAAAGAAGGGATCCTGTGCCTTTGACAGTGTACGACACAAGCAGAAATTTCACATGCTAAGCAGATGGCAGCAGTGGGCATGCAAACTTTGCAAATGGTTAAAGCAAGGGTGGGCAACCCTCCATCCAATTTTCATGTGGCCCTCTGCCTGTGATCAGTTCAGATCTCTGGCAAGAATGATTGGGCAGCTATAGGGAAGAGGACCAAGGGAAGAAAGGGGACAGATAAAGAAGGGGGATAATCCACCCTACTTTGCCACCCCTGGGTTCTGCCCTCTCCACAGCCAACATGTGGTTCTTGAGAGTCTACCCACAAGGTAATGTGGCTTTCATGAGCCAAAAAGTTACCCACCCCTAAGTAAAGGAAACAGGAAGACTTGGCAGGGCAAAAAACCCCATTCCCAGAGGATCCCAGACAATGGCTTAGTTTATAGTAGGGTTGAAAAGTGAGCCCTACCAGGAAAAATGATGCATGGGAGGAGGTAAAATAAAGGATGTTTGCTGATATGACTTATATACATAGAAGCCGTTAGCAAATAAAGCAAACAAAATAGAAAAACGAACTATGAGGGAAGTGGCTGAAGCACCTACTAGGGCCAGGTGTATGGGACAAAAGGTAATGAGCTGGCCCTGAGGGTGTGGCTGCAGGTATAAAGATGAAAGAGCAATGGGCTTGGCCTAGGATTCAGCAATGGGAGAGGGAAGCATTTTCAGAAATGCCCCTCCCTTGAAGTTTCTCTGAACCAGCTTCTGTATTTGTGGGAACCAAATGCAACTGCATTGCATTCATATCCCACCTTTTCTCTTTCAAGGAACCCAAGGTGTCTTACAAATGTCTTCTCTGCTCCATTTTTCTCCTCACAACAACCCTGTAAGGTAGGTTAGGCTGTGAGTGGGTGACTGGCCCAATGTCACTCAGTAAGCTTCATGGCTGAGTGAGGACTAGAATCGGGATTGCCCAAGGCTCCAGTCCAGCACTAACCACTATGCAACATTTGGTCTTAAAGCTATATGGCACATAAAGCCTTTATATTGCTAGTTGCTGCAAGCATGCACATGTGTACACACACGCACACACATGCATGCACGTGTGCACACACATGAACACAGGCGCACACACAGAGCACAATTAAGTCCTTGATCATATATGCCTTGAGGTTTGGTTGCCTGGAACGTGCCCAATGCTCCTGAGAACTTCTCCCCTGCCAGCTTCCTGTTACCTGTTTCTGTTTGATACAAAGGATTTCTTTAAAGGACACAACTTTTCTTCCTAGAAGCTGCCTTGCCCTTTCCTACCATGATCTGTTTTTTATTCCCCTAGCAAGACTTTCCCATGCAAAGCTGTGGGAGGATCTGGCTCTACTGATCAATCTGTGGGGCAATTTGCAAAAGATTACGAAGGGTTTCTGATTCCCAGTTTTTAACAGCAGCAGCACCATTTCCCTTCTCCAGACCCCAGAAAGCTGGAAAGTGACCAGGAAGGAAAGCATGTTTGTACAGAGGAACTATTAACTCTGTTCTGTTTTACTATTCAGGACAAATTTCTGGGCTCTAGTTAGCAGCTCTCAGGGTTGTAACAAAACAAGAAACAAAAATAATAAAAAAAGCAAAGAAAATCTCATAAATGACTCCAGCCTTAAAACAGTCAGGCTATTGTTTCCCCCATTACTGCAGTTGTGCAATGGGTAAAGCATTAGGGAAGGGCATAGCTCAGAGATAAGGAACATGCAATAAGCCACAGGTACTGCACCTGTGACGCAGAAGACATTTTCCATTGGCACTTGGTCTGCTTTTGTCATCTTCTTGCTGATCTGTTATAAACCCTAAGAAATTCAGCTATTGCTAAACAGGGCTTATAAACAGGAGAGCCAGGATCCTGGTGGGGCTTGTATGATGCTATTGCAGGCCCTGCAGCTTTCCTGGAAGCTGACAGGGCACCCAGACATTGTCATCTTCCACCTGTAACTCCCCCATGCTTTCCTGTCATTCTTCGGTCTTTTATCATTCAACCAACAATAATCTGTTGGGGAGGAAGAGATGGGATATCTTTGAATTAGTAGTGCTACGAACCCTCCATCTGAGAGCACCCTGTTGCAATAGCTTCTGTATAGACTGAAGTGCCTGATCCTGCATAATCTCGGAAGTGAAGCAGGGTTAGGCCTGGTTGAAATCTAGATGGGTGACTTAAATGTTGTGAACTGCCGCAAAAGCTTTGGCTATAGATGTTATAAAAATGTAATGAATAAGAATAGAGAAGTAGAACCTGTGGATTCTGGATCCTAGACCATCCTGGATGCCTGTGACTCATTTAACAGGATATATATTTTCATAAAGTGAAGATACTGAATTTATTTATTTGTTAATTTGCTTTCTACAAATATCCCAAATTTGTACAGATTTGTGTACTAGCAAATTTCTTCGGTGGCTTGCAATCATAAAGCCAAATAATAGCAAAATAACCAATGAATATGACAATACAAGAATATGAATATCAAATTAATATAATATTAAACATTAAAATGTTTTAAAATATGAAAATGATAGTTACAAAAATGGCAGCAAGCCCACATTACCAACGCAGGAAGTGTCCCTTTAAGAATCTTGGTTTCTAGACCTTTCTGTTGCCTTGGGAACTGGGAAGGTGAATTGCACCTGTTATGGTTAGACAAACAATGGGATCTGTTCAGGCTGCCAGGAAACCAATAGGATCAGGTTGCTCTGGCCTTCTCAAAATGAGAAAGAAAGAAAGAAAGAAAGAGGAAGTTTGGCACTTCTTTTAGCATAAGCTTGGGAAAGAAATGTTTGGAACCTATAATCTGAATTGAAATGGGTAATCCACAAATCTTTCACAATCAATCAGACCGAGGATTAGGGCTATATATCCCTAAGGTATATCCCTAAGGTACATCTTGATCTGCAGCTGCTGGCAAGCCCCATTGACCATGGTGGGATAACCAGCAGATTAAATTGCTGCTAAAGGAACATTTTCAGGCTCCTTTTTCAGGCTCATTTTCCCCTGGTCATCTGACAACCCTAGAAATGATTGGAATACTTGCTTTTTCACACCCTATTTTCATTAATATGCCTTGTGCTTCCTTCCCCTCAGATTTTTAACCAGACAGTGGAGAATGCTCGAGTCGTCCTGCAGATTGATAATGCCCGCCTAGCCACTGATGATTTCCGTGTCAAGTGAGTGTCTTCTGCTTGTTCTGGGAGGTCTGGGTTCTGCTTCCCACTTGGCCATGAAGTTCACTGGGTGATTTTGGGCCAATCGCTCCCTCTCAGAGTAATCCACCTCACAGGGTTGGTGTTCTGAGGATAAAAATGAAAGGAAGGTAAACTTACATAGATGCCTCAAGTCCCCCATAAAAGGGAAAAAGGCAGGATAGAGATGCAATGTATTAATAAATTGACCGAATATGCTCCAGTTCTGTTAATTCTGCATATTTTTTCTTGTTTACTAACAAAAGAGGGTCATGGAGCAGTCAGGGATGCTAAAGACCATCTCAAATCTATGCAAGTCTTATTCATTCAAGCATCTAGCTTTCAGACTAAGGACTCCACATATTGTACAGCAGCTAGTCTGCTTTTCCCCCCTCCTTAATAGATTTTTTTAATGAAAGAACAATTAAAAGATTGAAAACGTTATGGCAAAAATGGGTGGGTTGCAAGAGGATGATATATCTGAATCCCCACATTAAATTCTGTGAATGAAGCAATGTGATTGTATGCTAAAAGTTTCAGCTGAAAGATGTTGAGAGGCATTGCCCATTCACTCTGAAGCACCTTTTTGAACCTCTTTAAAAAAAAAAAATCAGCAAAGTTCAGGAAAGTGAATTCTGCACCCTGCTGTGCCTTTCTGTTTGCTTAGGATCTGAGCATGAAAACAATCCTCCCTCTTTTTTTCTGCATTGCTCACATATTTACAGTGGCAAAAATAAACCCCTTTCCAGGTTAAAAAGAAAATTGTGGCAAAGTCCTCATGCCTTCTTTCTTTTTACCCAGGTATGAGGCTGAACTGGCCATCCGTCAGTCTGTGGAGAATGACATTAGAGGCCTGCGCAAAGTTATTGATGACACCAATGTGAGCCGTCTGCAGCTGGAGACTGAGATTGAGTCCCTCAGGGAAGAGCTGGTCTTCATGAAGAAGAATCACGAAACAGTAAGCCTTGAGTGACAATAGGCAAGGAGAGAGCAGGAACAGTGGTTTGATGGGAAGGAGGTGGCCCTCTGCTGTGGAAGGGAGGGGCTGGGGCCACTCGTGAAGGATGTTCCCAGCCTTGCCCGCCTGGGACGGCCCCCATACTTTGCAGTTGATGTTGGCTCATTCTGTATCTCCTCCCACCACACCTTTCCCCTTTAGGAAGTCAACAGTTTGCAGGCCCAGATTGCCAGCTGCGGACTGACAGTGGAAGTAGATTCTCCCAAGTCACAGGATCTGGCTAAAATCATGGCTGAAATTCGGGCACAGTATGACGAACTGGCTCGGAAAAACCTTGAGGAGCTGGATGAGTACTGGAAGAATCAGGTAAGCAGGAGAAATTTTGTGACTTGCTCCTGAAATGGATGAATGTCGGCTTCTTTTGACTCTGACGCCTCATAGTTCCCATGAGATGAAAGAGGCTGCATCTGTAATTGTCCAAAGGTGAGATCCCAAGGAAATAAACTTCCTTATGTCTTTGCACCTTTCCTTCAGATCACCAAGAGCACCGTTGTCATCACTGAGAATACCAAGGAGCTTGAAGGAGCACGTGGCAATGCCAATGAACTGCGCTACAAATTCCAAACACTGGAGGTTGAGCTGGAGTCTCTGCGCAATGTGGTAGGAATCAGCGCTTGGCTGTAAGGTCTCCCAGTTCCAGAAGAAACTAGGCTTGAGATCCTTACAGTTTGTGTGGTCATACAGGAAAGCTTGTCAAACAGAACTCCATCAGTATTTTAGTGAAAAAACGGACTGCATTATACGTACAGTGGTACCTTGGCTCACAAACTTAATCTGTTCCAGGACTCTGGTTGTGACCCAAATTGGTGTGACCCAAGTCAAATTTCCCCATCAGGTTCAGTGTAAATAAGGTTAATCCATTTTGTAACCATTTTTTATGAAATGAAAAAATTTGAAACAAAGTGACAAAGAACAACAAGTAACAAAGTACTATACAGTACAGTAGAGAACACTAACCCTGGTGGGTGGGGGGAGGTTATTGTTTGGAGGGAGAGTTCAAACAATAATCGTGCGATAGCGATTGTGCTTGGGGGTGGGGGGAGACGGCCACAATCACGATCATGCAGGGAAGATGGGCGCAATCGCAGTCATCTCCCCCCACAAGCATGACCGCAATCGTGCCTATCTTCCCTGCACGAGTGCAACCATGATCACAGCCATCTCCCCCCCCTCCAAGCACAATTGTGCAGGGAAGACAGGGGCGATTGCGATTCTCACCCAATGCAGAGTTTGTGATCTGAGGCAAAAGTTTGTCAAAATTTCTGTTCGCGACCTGATTTGGTCCTGAGGCATTTGTGAGCCGGGGTACCAGTGTCCCCAGGCTACAAATGAGTTCTTTTCCTGAGAAAATGGAAATGTGTCTTTAAGTTGAATCTGTATGTAAGTCAGATCACATATAGTTGGCCCTCTACATGTGCAGGGGATAGGGGTGCAGGACCCCCATGAAAGTGGAAAAACCACGAATATCTCTACTTTCCCCACTGCCACCCAACTCACCAGTTCCTCCTCTTTGCAGCAAGGAAATGCCAGCGAGATTTCCCTCTGAATGGGCAGGGCAGGAAGGCATGCTTTGGAGGCCTTCCTTTCTTCCCTTTCACTTCCTTTGCATGGTGATGATGATTTTCTGCAGTATTTTTAAAAAATTAACAGGCTTTTGTGGCAGTTTGTTCATAACTCAGGTGTTCATACAGGGACTGCCCGTACTGAGAGGCAGGATTTCTTGTACCCCAAGGAATGACTGTAGCTCTGTGCTAGAACATGTGTTTTGATTACAGAAGGTGCCAACTCGTCAACACAATCAAAATGGGGGTGCCTCACTAATTTGCAGTAGGGAGCCAAACTACGGAGGTAACTGAACCCAAGCAAAAATGTTTTCTGACCCCCAAAAAGAGGCCAGGCACAGAAATGCCACCTAAACATAGAAGAGAGTTGGTTCATCAAGGGCCGGCTCTAACTTGGCCTCCTTTTTAAAAACCCCATTTCTCCTACAGAAAGCCAATCTTCTTGGCAACCTGCACGAAGTAGAGAACCGCTATGCCATGCAGATGGAGCAACTTAATGGCGTGTTGATGAGGCTTGAGATGGAACTGGCACAGCTGCGGAATGATATGCAGCGCCAGGCAGATGAGTACCAGGCTCTGCTGAATGTTAAAGTCAAGCTGGAGAAGGAGATTGCTACCTACAGGCAGCTGCTGGAAGGTGGAGAGGAGCTGAAGTAAGTGCTTCTAGCTTTTTATCCTTTCCAGGGGGGAAAAGGGGGGGGGTGAGTTGAGCTTCCAGTCTGGACTCCATATGCTCTAAAAAAAAGTCTTCCTCAAACTGGTGCCCTCTGGATGTGATGGACTGTGATGGACTCATCATCCCCAGCCATACTTGTCCCTGGAAGAGCCTTTCAGAGTGGAGCAAATTAGAAAAATGTGAGGTGGGGTCTGGAATGGAATGGAACATCCTGGAAGGTGGTGTGGCTGGCTGCAGCCCTGAGGCCGGACTCCTTCACACAATGCAACATGCTGTTGTAGGTCTCTCTCATTGATATTCCTGTATCAGCTGCCCTTCTGGCTCTCCCCCTGCAAAGCTCAGCTTGGCTTACATAATGGCTCTCATCCAAGCCACATATGAGACAAGACCTGATTAGCTCCCAGAAGCAGAACTATATGTGGGGATATTAGTCCATTTTCAGGCCCATCCCCTCTGTGGTGGGCGAGCCTGGCCATGTGTCTTTGTGCAATGGAAGTACATTTTAGGATAATACTTTTTGCAATTCTGTTTAGTGGCAGGAGTGGGTTGGCCTATCCTGATGACCTCATGTGCTCCTGCTTGCACCAGATTTCCTCTGACTAAAGGTATCTTAACAGAGGAGTGGTCTACACTGCGTTCAGATCACATGGCCAACTGGTGGAAGTAGCCACTGATTGGTCCTACCAGGTTGTGCATCTGTCAATTCAGAGAGTTAATCATAATGCATTTGAAAATCCCACATTCATCCATTCACAGAGCCAGAGACCACTGCATGTGTCAGCCATCTTGGTCTCAGTTTCTTGCCTGTAAAATGGGGCCACTGAGTTCAGGATTCCTCAAGTTGGCCAGTTCAATAGTTGTGATGGTGACACAAATTTCCTCAAGGTGTGATGCACAAATGATGTGGAAGTCTCTTAATGCCCATGTGTTCCGTCTCTTTTCTCCAGCCTGAACGATGCTGTGCTGGAAGACGCCATGGAAATCACGCATAAGATCAAAACCACCAAGATCGTAGATGGCAAAGTGGTGGCGGAGAAGAGTGAGAGTAGAGTGACAAAGCGCTAAGCTCGCCTCATGCAAGAGAAAGCGCCTCTCAGCACATTGTTCCCCCACAAGCTGGATAGGGCCTGGGGTGGATCATAATTGAATACAAAAAAGCAATAAAACATACAAAAGAATGTTGTATCTGAGTGGTATTCCTTCATTTTGTCTACCCCCCAACCCTCCTCTAATCATTGCAATGCTGGGGTTCATCTAGCTACTGTAGGACTATGCAACCAGATTGTAACTCCCACAATCCCCGCTCACTGGCCATGCTAGCTGGGGATTGTGGGAACTGTAGGGTGGAAATCCAACTTTCTGTGTTCAGGGAAAGCTTTTCACCTTGAATTGTGTTCTAGTAGATTCTGGGCCCTGTTCTAAAGTAGCATGAGCCTGGACTATTTGGTCTCATTGTGGACAACATAAGCCAAAAATGTGATGCAGCTGCCAAAAGGGCAAATGCTATTTTGGGATGCATTAATAGAAATATTACTTTCAAATCATGAGAAGTAGTAGTTCCCCTATACTCCTCAGTAAGACCTCATCTGGAATACAGTGTCTGGTTCTGGGCACTAAGGTTTAAGAAAGATGCAGGAAAAATAGAAAGGGTCCAGAGGAGGACAACAAAAATGATCCAAGGTTTGGAAACACTGCCCTATGAGGAAAGACTGAGTGAATTGGGCATGTTCAGCCTTGAGAAGACAAAGGGTGTCTATAAGTACCTCAAAGGGTGTCACAAAGAGGAAGGTCAAGATCTCTTCTCACCGATACCAGAGTGTAGGACATGGAATAATCAAGTCAAGTTGCGACAACCCCAATTCAGGCTATATATCAGGAAAAGCTTCCTCACTGTCAGAGCAATACCACAGTGGAACCAGGTGCCTAGAGATGTCATGGGTTCTCCCACACTAGAGGCATTCAAAAAGAAACTGGACAGCCATCCAAATGGGATGGTGTAACATGGTGTCCTGCAGGGAATTGGAGCTGATGGCCTTCCTGGCCCCTTCCAGCTCTATGATTCTTCTTCCCACGGTCCCATGGAAATGGAGAATGCAACTAAGAAGCACACCCAGCACCCTATCCTGACACCTCCAAGGGGTTGGTTGCATGGTGTCCATGCAAGTTCAGTAAGAGGGGCAAGCTTTTCTTTCAGGGAGCCTTGTCTGCTACTATTGATCTGCCCATTGCTAGGGGGTTACATGGCTCCTTTGCTCTGATGAGGCAGGGCTGTTTTTGAATTCCCAGCTAGGACTGGACTAGTAGGTAGAGCAGGCATAGCAAGTACAGCATAAGAGCAGCCCTGTGGTGGATCAGATCTGAACCCAATTTCAAGTACTTGTTGAGTGCGATCATATTGCCCCTCAGTTTTCTCTGGGCTAAACATGCCCAGTACTTTCAGTGCCCACCCCCCCCCACACATGGCTTTGTCTCTAGTCCCTGATGATCCTTTTTGCCCTCTTCTGGGATCTCTCCAGCTTGTCTGCACTTTCTTAAACTGTGGTGCCCAGAATTGGACTCAGTACTCCAGATGAGGCCTAACCAGTGCTGAGTAAAGGGGAACCAGCACTTCATCAGGCACTCCAGTCCTCCAGCACTTCCCTGTCCTCCAGGATTTCTCAAATGTAATAGACAGTGATTCTGAAAGTTCTTCCACTGGCTCCTTGATGACTCTAGGAGGGAGTTCATTGGCTCTGGAGATCTGAACACATTCATGTGTTACAGCTTGTGTTGTAAGCCGCCCCGACGTTTCGGCAAGGGGCGGCATAGAAATGTTATAATAATAATAATAATAATAATAATAATAATAATAATAATAATTATTATTATTATTATTATTATTATTATTCAACCCAGTTAGATGATTCTTGACCTTTTGCTTATCAATCTTGAACTGCCACCCCCCTTCTCCTTCAGCTTGTGCTTCCCTTCCATCAAGAAGGTCATAGATCTTCTTTTAGGAAAAGACTGAGCCCAAGTAGGAATTGAGTACTTCTGTCTTTTCTTTGCCATCTGGGCACCAAAGTTCTTTACTTTCCTCCCTAAAGCTTCAAATTCCAATGTAATTTCTTCAAAGCTCCATTTGGCAGTATCATTGGTTCCCACGTGTATAAGAAGGAAGGGCTGTGTGCCAGTGGGCACACATAACTGAAAGATTGGCAAGGCTCATACCATTAATCTGCCCTCCAGGGAGACTGCATACCAGTAGAGTCCACTGGTCTTCCTGGCATACATGTGTTCCCATCCCACACAGCAGGGAGTCTCCCACAACTGAAATGCTCCCCTTCTTGTTCTTGCAAGCCTTGGTATCAATGCCACAAGTTGGTTGACCTTCAGCAGTGTTCAGTGTTGCATGGCTTGCATTTCTTCCAGGGCGGGCTGCTCCTCCCTCAAGGAACTGAAAGCAGTCGGATCGTTCCACTGCTTCCACTGGTGCAGAGAGGCTTCGAGTTCTTCTGCACTGAACTGTCACCCTTTTCCAGGGAGTGTCCTCCTCATTTTCTCTTCCAATTTCTCTTACAAACATGACCTACAATCCAAAGGTCATGCTCCAGAAAGACAGCCACATTAGGAGTCTCCTCTTCTCTGCCAGTTTGCTGTTGTACTTCTTGCTTCTGTACTATTGTGATTTCACCGCATTGTCTAAAAACTCTTCATCTTCTTTTACTACCTTGAGGGTGGACACTTGCTGCTCCACTGCTCTCACCTTTCCTTCTAACAGGGCTAGTAGCTTGCACTTGTTGCATGCGCAAGCCACATTAACCTCAGACAGGAAAACAAGCATAGCACAAATGTTGCCCGTCACCCCCACTGGGGAGTCTTCTCAGTCTATTCTTTGTGCTACCTTTTTGATTCTAGCTTGCTGGTCCTGCTGTAATAAGCAGTGCTTCCTCCTGTCTTCCAGGTAAGATCCAGGGTGTGGGCGACAGGCAACTAAGGTTGGAATGCTGGGACCAGGGCACAGGTGCAAGGTGGAGTCCCGCAGCAGGTTCAGGCGGCCAGAAGAAAGAGGCACATTTGATCAAAAGTCCAGGGTCAAAACCAGGGAGACGAGCGATCCAAGCAAACACAATCCAAGATACTGCAATCCAAAGTTCATGTACCAGAAAGACAGCGACATTCAAGAGCAAGGCAAGGTCAGGGAGGACGGGTGCAGGTATCTGGGAATCAGGGTTAGACTGGAGACAGATAGAAGGGGAACAGGTGGGTGAGCAGGATTCAGGCAAGGCAATGCAGAGAGCCAGAGCACAAGGAAGTCACCAGGACATCTTGTGTTGTTCTGGCAAAGAGCTGCAGTGCAGGGATGCCTCCAGGTGCCACTCAGCTGTTTCCTGCAAGCACCTGCAAAGGTGCTCTTGGTTCTGCAGGTACTTGCAGAGTCAATCAGGCCCTGATCTTGGCATCCCCTGAAGGTTAATAACAGAGTCCTACCAGTCAGTAATGGGAGAGTGTTACAAGGAAAAAAACAAGGCTGGGGGGACTAAAGGGTAAAAGAGAAGAAGAAAAGAGTTAGGGATCTCCCTTGCTGAACTTTGCCACCAAACTCCTGTTTGGTCTCCCTGGTGGCTCCCTCCCTGGGAGCTTGGCTGCTCATATTCCAGAGCCCCTAGGACTGCTCAGCTAGGAGTCAGGAACCAAAATAAACCTCCTCAGCCACACAGCTGCTGATAGTAATCAGGATCCTCCCTTTCAGTTGCAGCTCTCAATAGCACACAGCCTCCCGCAGAGGCTGGTGCTGGGCTAGTCCAGGACCCTCACTCCTTCGCCTCTGCCTGCCTTTGTCTCCTCTTCCACTGCAACTCCACCACCGACCTCCTGTTTGCTCTCCCTGTTTGCTTGCTCAGTTTCATGCAAAGCAACCCAGACTGAACCCTCAGTGTCTCCCATTAGGGCCAGGAAGGCATTCTGCTTGAAAAAACTGCAGAGTCACTGCCAATTGCCATAGGCCAACTCTCCCGTTCTGGTGCCCTCCAGATGTTTTAGACTTCATCTTCCATTATCCTTGAGCATTGGCCATGCCGGCTGGGGCTGATAGCTATAGTCTGGAGAACACCTTGACTGAAATAGAATTTGTGTGGCCCTCCACATGTTTTGGACTCCAACTCCCACCAGCCCTAGTCAGCATGGTCAGTGGTCAAGGATGATAGTTGATGTAGGCCAAAACATCTGCAGGGCCACAGGTGTGTTATTTTTATGCTTCATTTGAAACATTTCCCTTTTATTATTAGGTCCAGCTTCAGAATACATGTTCCAGGACCCAACAAAAAAGGAATAAGCAATTTCAAATAGGTAATAAGCCGCCTTGAGGCTTTTTGCGAAGAGGGCGGCATAGAAATGTTCTAAATAAATAAATAATAAATAAATAATAATATTATGATGTCTGTATCCAGGCAATCATTGCAGAATCAGGTAGATTTAACAATAGGAAGTGCATCAAAACCTCTGGAGTTGGGATTCCCAATTCATTCAAAGTTGCTCTCTAAGTTCCTTGATAACATGGGGTATATTTCCTTATATTTCCCCCCACTTTGTTCCTGACAATTTCTAAGATATGGACTGTACTGGCAAAGTCCTTTAGAAGTCAGCACACCCTTCAAGCAACATCAATCACCTTTGGTTCTGGAACCATTTCATCACCAGCCTGTGTGTTCACACTTTTCTAAACTCCCAGGCATCAATATCTAGTTGGCTGAAGTATGTGAGCCAGCGAGCATCAAATTCCTGTGCCTCATGAGGATAATAGCATGTAGGCAAAACTGCTGCAGGGGATGCTCTGGGGGCCAGGCTGTGGAAGATGGGAGTGGCGGCAGAGGCAATGCAGCAATGGAGGAGCTGTGCAGCTGTCAACATGCCTGAAGGGGAAGGATCAGCTGGTTGATTGTTCATGGTCGGTTACAGATCTGAGGGACCACAGGTTGCCCATAACATAGGTGGATCTGTAGTCTGGCTTGGCATAAGTCAGCTTCTTATTAAGCCCCAGGGGCAGGAGATCTTGGTAGAGATATTTTAAAAGCAGTTTGGGCAAACATTTGGCTGGGTATGATGAAGCCAACTTTTCAGGCCAGGGGATAGATGGTCCCTAATGCCATTTCCAAATGAATGCTGTCTATGGCAAGCAAGAAAGTGCAGGAAGGG